AAAACTGTTTTGATCTTTTTTAAAACAATTCGAAGGAGGAATTAAAAATATTTAGAATTTTTTGTTTGGCAAAATTAATCAAAGGATTAAGCAATTCATGATGTTTTCACTCAGAGTGAATTCTTGCTCCTCCTGCATCAGGAATCTTAAAGATGTTAAAAAGAAATGGCAAAGATTTACAGAGCCACAAACGAAAGTGGCCAACAGGTATACTGTAAAAACATAATATAATGTCATAAAACAGAGTTTATTTTAAAACACCTGGTAATTTTTTGTTTAATTTAGATTCTTCTTTTGTTTTTGTTTTTTTAAATTTGTTGCATTGTAAGAACATGATTGATAAATGTAAATCAATTTATATCAAAGTCTGGGAATTATTTCAGGGTTAAACAATAAATATTAACGAAAATATCCTGCAAATGCTACTTGTCTGAATGCAATTTTTACTTGTCCCCTTCCGAGAATAGATATGAAAAATATTGTTGAACTCTATTAAGACAGAAGTAATATAAAAATATTAACTTATTAAGATTTCGTAATGAAATATTACTGATATTACACACATCCATTAACTAGCGATATCCTTTGAGGTATAACAGAGCCCCTAAGATTGACAATTTATATATTACGTCTTATAAATGGCAACAAAATTAACTGATGAAAATAGATTTATACCCCCCCCCCCCCCAAAGACTACACTTTAAATTGGTTTTTAGCCGTAATTTGGAACATTTTAAGCATTAAATAGTTTATACGTTTTTTTTAATAAATTTGATTTTTTGCAAAAGATGAATGCGAGAGCAATTAATGACGCACAATTGGATACCATGGACACACCTTGGTTAAATATGACATTATTTGTGTATGAAATGTGTGTCCGTATAATGAATTATTTACAAATTGTTCATGTTTGTCGTATTGATGTGGAATTATCATAAATTCCCGACTTTAGATATTTTACAGTTCTCTTGTGTTGGGTATGAACTCGAAGAAGTAAATGCTTTAAACATCATACAAAATATAAAGCAGAACGGACGCCTGTTTGGGAGCAGACCATGAAATGCACTAAGCTCCACGGGTATTTGTTGTCATATTCGCATTAATTCAGACTTCCAAATCGTTTCTTGACTATGGTACCTTTAGATAACATTTGTCTCTAGGTGAAAATTGAATAGACAAAATCCGCCATCACATTGTTTAATTTTTATAAGGTGATTACACCGCCTTTACCCGATTTCGTGGATTCAACGATACCCCGATTTTTATGGATAATACCCATTTCGAGTATTTTCTCCAACCTGTTAGAGTTTTAGACTCTGGGCGGATTTTATTTTTTTTTTGCTTGTCAGACATAATTCTCTGTCCTTGATGTTATTCGAAATAAATGAGAATGAAATTGTTGCCCCTTTATACATGATGATAAGCTGAAAACTAACTGCATTGCTCTAGGCACATTATCTACATTTAAGGGACGACTTCTGAGTATTTTTGTTTCGGATTTAAGTTGATAAATAATCTAATTATCGTCATGTCGAATGTTTGAATATTGTAGGGGAACTTGTGAATTCTGTACTCCAAAACCCACATTTAGAAAAAGTATATGCTACACTCAAATCGCCAGGGTTGATGAAAAGAGGACATCTTTTTATACTGTATAATTTTATGAGGATCATCAATAGCTTTTTTTTGGGCTAAATGATTGCAAGGTCCGAGTTTGTATGGCTCACCTTCTCTGCTTTTTATCCATCATGCCAACAATTTCACAATCCAGCGATTTTTTGATGCATACAATGTTCTGGCGCATATTACACATAATGCATTAGAATGTTTTAACTTCCATGTATAGATTGTGGACTGTGCCATTACAAATTCTGCATTTGTTCAACATATTACAAGCGGCAGAAATAATCAACAAGTGGTTTCTCTCTTTCTTTACTGTACACAGCTAATTGTGCCACGTACGTGTAACGCTACCGACCGAGTATTATCAATATGGAACTTAACATGTAGTATGTGGTTAAAATATTAATTTTTGACACAATCGTGCACTATTTATTGAGAAAATATCATTAAAAACCGATTTTTTACCAAGGTCCGACCCGTTCCGTTGACGTTTATTTAAAAGGACGACAACTCTAAAAATTGCAAAATCGTAAAATTCTGGTTACTCCCCTTTGATGATGCAAAATATGACGTAATTTCAAGGCCATTCTTGCGGTATTTTTATCACAACATGAAAATAAAAATCGGCATCGTTAAAAAGTTTAAATCTTCACCTTTAAGACAGAAACACGTAAAAACACAGGGAGACTCAGGTTCAATGAAAGTTTATTGCTTAAAGTTGTCCGAAGCAAGGTATGTGTCCGATGCATGGTTAACTCACCCTATTTAATTTTTGTCAATAAGTGAAAAAAATCCCTAAAAGCTTTATTGTTGCTGGGACTATATAATATTCTTAAATTGGTGACATTTTCAAATACAGGAACTTTTTGTACAAAAGGACACCTCAGACCAAATACTTTTTTTTACTTAATAGTTCAGAGTGAATTTGGAGAACTAATCAAGATAATGTTTAACAATCAATAACCTGTAATTCATGAAACAGAGTATTGCGACCAACTTGGTCCAAGTATAAAATCCCTCTTAAAACGGGACCCTAGATCATAAGTTGCGTGGATTTTAATCATTATACTGTAATATATTTTAAAGATTTAACTTTTTTTTTTAAAAAAAATAATATCATATCATGATCTATGATAATGATGATTAAAACCCAATCACCTCTGAAAGCTCACAGGTGTGTGCATTGTTGTGCGTGTTTTGCGTCTTTGATGTTCCAATTTATTTCGCATTGTTTACCTTACGTCCACTTGCATGTCTGACATGGAGGAATCAGTTCGCATTGGTGTATAATTTACTCTTAGAGCAGTAAAACATAGTCTACATACAACTACACCAATCTCGTAATGTGTATATCGGATATCGGTAGAGGCACATAAAATTGAACTCGATCATCGGTAGATATAATCATTCCGAATTCAGGAGCAAAAGCTGAATTTGATAAAAAAGAAAATCACGATAATTTCACAAGAGAACTCAAATGGAATTCACCTAAATAGATATTACATAATTATACAGTTGGTAGCGTCCGTATAACACTAAATATGTAAAATGTACGTTCCGGAATTTTCACCTCCGATTATTATTTACGTTACGGGTGACGTCACTGGTAAGAAGTCTGACGTCTGCAAGACAGTGTCTGGAGTTAGGCTAGGAATAACGGTGAGGAATATACATAACATCAACAGTTATTTATTTACTTTATATTTCAGACTGTGTTGCATGTAAACTAACGGGTGTGTTTCTTTTAATTATTTTAGTGTATAACATAATGTAAACTTACTTTACCAAATAAGTAAGAAAATATTGACGCAGTCAACTGTCTTGGTCAGCACCCCAGCCCAGGTGTGAATCAACACTGGCACATTATATAGCAATGCCCAATAATTTTTAAGGACTCAAATAATTGTCAGTTTTTTATATTTGTTGTGTAAAGTATGACCCACTGATTCCATATCAGCAATCACTTCTCAAATCGGGTGAAAATTAAGTCTTGTATGAATGTTTAAAAAATGCAGAATTCATCCAGAGTTATCTATCTTTCTGAGGAAAATGATTAGAAAGTGTACATTGGGTAATAAAAAGCAGATAATACAGGAATGCAAGATCAAAATATTTTTAGAATATAACCTAGGTACCAGTTATTGAATTTTATCTTAAATTTCAGAATATTCTTGTGCCGTTGTTGAAACACAGAAGAATATATTGACACGAGATGTAAAATGCAAGAGTAGTCTTCCTTTGATTTCCTTATTAATATACAGTGGCTTATGTGTCATTATGCACATGACATATTGTCATTTCCAGTAATGAACCTATCAATAAAAGTTAAATTATGGTTATAGATTATGTTTTTATTTGACTTTCATTGTTTTCTTCATCAAAGTAAGTCAATCTTGAAATTTATTCTTGTTAACTTTGAGATGCACCCTATTTTCGCATTCGCATATGAAATAGCTTTTGATACCAGCTATTGATAAAATACTTCAGTTGTTTAAGGACACAGTTCAAAAACATGAATTTAAAATTGTATCACCTTAACATTGTTCGACATGAAGTAAACAGACGTCAGACATTCAATTTGAATTGTTTACATTTTTTTCTACACACGTGTTGGCTGCCATATTGGATATGAATGAGCCGATTTTAGCTACAGTATGCCTTGGAAAATTCGTGTGGCGAACAAGAACGGTTGAATACTTGCCTGCATGTGATATGCATTTGTAGTGGAATACCTGAGGAAGCTATTAATGCATGTTTTGACAAATTACTCGTCCGTATATGAAAATTAGAGATAGTTTAATTTTTCAATCTATCTTTAAAACGTCTAATTGCGCCATACTTCAAACATTCAGGGTTGGTAATTCTAGGGGGCATCTCAAACTTCATAGAAAGGTCATCAAAACGTTTGAAAACACGAGGGAAAGTAGTTTATGAAGCCGTACTTTTCAAGCTCTTTTCTGATACGGAATCAAAACGAGGCTGAGGAAATGTGGAAAGTTATCTCCCCCTTGCTTGGGCATTGCTACATTATATCAAAATTCAGGTGAGGTATAAAACATACTGTTATAAAAAATATTTATTGTGAGATTTTTTTTAGCCTACCAATAAGATGCAATAAAACCCTTGATGGAAAAAGTTCCACCCACCCAATGTATTTCTTTACAAAACATGTAGAGGAAATATAAATTATCTTTTAGGACAATAAGGGTGTAACACTTATTTTTCAGATGTCTTTTTCATACAGTCCTTATGAATATAAATAATGTATTCTGAAATTGTGATTTTTTTATGTGATTTTAAATGTACACTCCAGGATGGTGGCTGAAGCTCATCTCCTATGTAAACACCTAAATGCCAAGTCGGGACTTCAAAAACAGATTCTGAAAGTTCAACCAGCATTATGGTAATACTCTTAAAAAAGAAATCAAAGTTTCTGATCCCATTGCTTTTAGACTTGCAATTTAATACACAATATATCATGTAATGATGTTCATTACATGTCAATCACAAGAGGAGAAAATATTAAATGTTACCAGTAAAATAAGTAATTTTTCATATTGTTTGTTTTGCTTTACAAGTCTGAAATGCAATTTTTTTTAACATATATTTTCTTTTTTACCCCAAGGACAAAAAGTATACACTTCGAACAGACACAAAAACATATAGGTCCATGCCAAGCTATGAAAGATTTATGCTGAGGGTTAGTTCTATTATTACATAGAATTTAATTGTCAGACATATGGTTATGTCTAAAATTTGACTGTTGTATTTATATCAGTGATAAGCCATATTTTGCACCTGAGCTGGCTTACATGTAATCACAAAAAGATGTTATAACTAATTAGATAACCTAAGTCAGTCATGACCTGTTGCTATCTGTTTTTAGCTCACCTGAGCTGAAAGCTCAAGTGAGCTTTTGCTGATCACATTTTGTCTGTAGTCAGTCTGTCTAGCTGTCCGTCTGTCTGTAAACTTTCACATTTTCGACTTCTTCTCCAGAACCACTGGCCTATTTCAACCAAACTTGCCACAAACCATCCTTGGGTAAAGGGGATTCAAGTTTGTTCAAATAAAGGGCCACACCCTCAATAAAAGGGAGATAATTAAGAAATAGTGAAAATTTAGTGGGATGTTTTAAAAATCTTCTTCTCAAGAACCACTGGGCCAAAAAAGTTGAAACTTAAAGGAAACCTTGTATGTCAAAGTGTAAATTCAAATTTGTTTAAATCATGAGCCCCGGGGGTAGGTTGGGGCCACAATGGGGGATAAAAGTTTTACATAGGAATATATAAGAAAAAATCTTTAAAAAATCTTCTTCTCAAGAACAGCAAAGCCTTGTTTAGTCACATTGAAAAGGAAGCATCATCAAGTAGTGTAGATTCAAGTTTGTTCAAATCATGACTCCCAGGGGTAGGGACGGGCCACAATGGGGGATCTATATGTTACATAGGAATACATAAGAAGAAAACTTTAAAATTCTTCTTCTCAAGAATAGCAAAGCCATGAATAGTCATTTTGAAGTGGAAGCATCCTCAGGCTGTGTAGATTAGAGTTTGTTTAAATCATGATCCTCTTGGGATAGGACTGGACCATAATGGGAGATCAAAGTTTTACATAAGAATATATAGGAAAAAATCTTCTTCTCAAGAACAGAAAAGCCATGATTAGTCATGTTTATATGAAAGCATCATCAGGTAGTGTAGATTCAATTTTGTTCAAATCATGAACCCTGGGGTAGGGAGAGGCCACAATTGGGGATCAAGTTTTTACAAAGGCGTATGTAGGGAAAAATCTTTAAAAAATTTCTGCTCAAGAACAACAAAACCATATGTTATATTAATATTTCTTATGGCCTGAGGGTGTGTCATCACCTTGACCCAAGGTCATTTGGGCAAGTTCAAGGTCACTGACAGAAAAAAATCATAATTCGTGTTCGGTCCGTATCTTTCCTATGGAGAGTAATTTTGGATGTTGGGGGTATCCACTTCACACACAGATTGTTTATGACCTGAGGGTGTGTCATGATCCTGACCTATAGTGACGTACTGTAGAAAAAATGAATAAATAAGGCATTCATACTTTCCAACAGAGAAATAGTTGAAAAATTGTTATTAATTTTTCAATGTAATAAAAAACAATATTATTATTAGTATTGCTGTTTTACTAGGCTATGCCAAAGTTTCATTCATTAAAAAAATATAATGAGCAATTACCGGTAAATTTTCTCTCTAAATGTATAAACAATTTTTGAACACCTTTTAGATCCTAAAATACTAGTATTAGTGACTTGGCATCTTCTCTGAAAAAACTCAGTGGGGGGTATTTGTCCATATTGGACAGTTCTAGTTTAGTTCTAAAGGGAATCAACCAGGAGTTATATGTAGAAAATAATAATGTTCTGAAAAAAAACTATGTGTTTTTCCATATGCAAATTCATTTAATATTTTCTTTTTCTTTACAGATGAAAGGGAATTGCAGAAGAATGAATTGATGTTAACATCTCAACATTAAATTTGGCTTAAATTTGAATATGACTTGTTGTGATTGCATGCCTAAAGAGCAATTAGGATAAGGAAATTTGAGGTGAAGGATATCCAGATATATACCTTCAAAATGTGAATCATTCAACAGATGAAAAGAAAATAAGCCCCTGAAGAAAATTATGTCAAATGCATGAAATGAATATTTTGTTTCACGTATGTTGACAATATATATGTGAAAAAGAATGTTCGGTGATCAAAACATATGTTTAACCATGGTTTGGCACATGTATGGTACTTATACATTTATCATATGAGCAGTGCGTTTAACAAACATGTTAAACGCATGTTTCTAAAAACATACGTTACACACACGTTGCACGTACGTTATTCATACGTGAACCATATGAATAACGTACGTGTGCAACATGTGTGTAACATATGGTAGTCAATACGTATGTTTAACGTACGTGTCACGCATGATATTCATACGTGTGAAAACGTACGTTTAACATACGTGGTGCTTTTTTCATGTGATACGCACGTGAAGTCACATACGTTTAACGTACGTGATATGTACGTGGCACATTTTGCTGTGTAACATCTTCACTTGCGCTGACTGGTCCTTAGTTTTTTTCTGGTAGTATTTACTGCTGATGATACTTTTCTTTTATCATTCCATATTCTAAGTGTCAAGTTCTTGAATTTATAGGACTGTCTACCTTCTATCAGAGATAATTGCTCTTCCCGTACGGTTAGTCCGATGGATGCATTGTTATCTGCTATAATGCATTCACGCTTCTTTAGTGATTTGCCAGCATTTATTTACGAGAAATTTTCACGATCCATTATACTATGGCCGAACACTCTCCCAAAGATTACATCTCATTTATCTTCGTTGGAAAGGAAATCTATATAAAACAAATTGCACCTCAAAGTGACAGCGCAGTACTGCAAACACGCTTCCATATATATTCCAGGTATAGCCTCGTTCTCACCAACTGAGATATCGAACCTGAATTTCTGTGAAACCCGATCACAATTGAAATGTAGTTTTTTAGGTTCTAGAATAATCATATAAAACTATGTCAAAAATGCGTCCCAGTATAATATAATGCAATTTACATATTCTTCAGGTAAATCAATGAATGTTTTCCTGTTTAATTTCATTTTATTAGCTCACCTCGACGAAGTCGAGATGAGCTTATGCTATACCCCCGGCGTCGGCGTCGGCGTCGGTGTCGGCGTCGGCGTTAGCGTCGGCGTCCCAGGTTAAAGTTTTAGGAGCAAGTCCCATTCCCAAGTAACTATAAGCCCTACCTGGACCAAACTTGCATGGATGATGCATCTAGGGATGGACACTACCAAACTTGCTTCGGATGCTGGATCTGACCTACATTTTCCGGATGAGTGACCAGGTTAAAGTTTTAGGAGCAGGTCCATTCCTAAGTAAGTATAAGCCCTACCTGGATCAAACTTGCATGGATGATGCATCTAGGAATGGACACTACCACACTTGCTTCGGATGCTGGATCTGACCTAGGTTTTCCGGATGAGTGACCAGGTTAAAGTTTTAGGAGCAGGTCCATTCCCAAGTAACTATAAGCCCTACCTTGACCAAACTTGCATGAATGATGCATCTAGGGATGGACACTACCACACTTGCTTCGGATGCTGGATCTGACCTAGATTTTCCAGATGAGTGACCAGGTTAAAGTTTTAGGAGCAGGTCCATTCCCAAGTAACAATAAGCCCTACCTTGACCAAACTTGCATGGATGATGCATCTAGGGATGGACACTACCACACTTGCTTGGATGCTGGATCTGACCTAGATTTTCCAGATGAGTGACCAGGTTAAAGTTTTAGGAGCAGGTCCATTCCCAAGTAACTATAAGCCCTACCTGGACCAAACTTGCATGGATGATGCATCTAGGGATGGACACTACCAAACTTGCTTCGGATGCTGGATCTGACCTACATTTTCTGGATGAGTGACCAGGTTAAAGTTTTAGGAGCAGGTCCATTCCCAAGTAACTATAAGCCCTACCTTGACCAAACTTGCATGGATGATGCATCTAGGGATGGACATGACCACACTTACTTCGGATGCTGGATCTGACCTACATTTTCCAGATGAGTGACCAGGTTAAAGTTTTAGGAGCAGGTCCATTCCCAAGTAACTATTAGCCCTACCTGGACCAAACTTGCCTGGATGATGCATCCAGGGATAGACACTACCACACTTACTTCGGATGCTGGATCTGACCTAGATTTTCCACATTTGAGACCAGGTTTAGATTTAGGAGTAGTCCCATTCCCAAGTAACTATAAGCCCTACCTCGACCAAACTTTCATGGATGATGCATCTAGGGATGTACACTAACCAACCTGCTTCGAATGCTGGATCTGACCTAGATTTTCCACATGAGTGAATTTTAGCCATATTTTAACCAAATTAGCATGGATGATGTATCTAGGGATGGACACTTCCAGACTTGGTTTGGATTCTGAATCTGACGTACATTTTCCAGATGAGTGACCAGGGTAATTTTTTTTGGAGTAGCTATATAATATTATGGCCTGTTATGATTAAATTTGCATAGATGGTGCATCTAAGGATGAAAACTTGCAGTCTTGCTTTGGATGTTGGAACTGACCAAAATTTTCTTGATTACTAAACAGGTCAAAAGTTTTTTGAGCAGGTCTATAATTAAATCCAACTTGCATGGATATTGATCTTGGGATGTACCCTAACTAGAAAAAAAATATGATGTGAAATTTGCCTTACATGTAGATAACATTCGTCGAGGTGAGCTTCGTAATCTTTGATTACCTATGTTTATATGTTTCTTGCAGTTAGTATCCATGATTTAAGTAAACATTGAACCCCCTATTTTCTGGACTATCATACCCCTTCAGACATGATTGGAACAAATTTTAATCTACCCTATTTAAAAAAGTTTTCAAAAAAATAAGGTTCTAGAGAAGAAGCCTTTCAAAATGACCATACCCTATTTTGGCCTTTTTTTAAAAATTATATCCCCTTGGAAGGGGACACTGCCCTTCACATGAACAAATTTGAATTCCCTTCACTCCAGGATACCTTGTGGCAAATTTGATTGGAATAGGTGGTTCTTGAAAAAAGTTGAAAACGTTGAAAAGTTTACCCACTACGACGGACGAAAACAGTTAGCAATGACTCAGGTGACCAAAATAGTCCTCATTTTTAAGTGGAAAAATAGAATTTCTGTGTGTTGGATAAGAAAACAACCAAATCTGTTCTCACGCTGCAGCTGTTGCCGAGATTGTTTGATTGATTGTATGTTGTTTTACGTCCTGTTCGACTTCACCATATACCCTGAAGGACTTCAAATTTTAGACCTTTACTCGGCACTTAGGGCCATCGAGCAGTGAGGGTTCTTCATCGTGCCAAGGCCTACCGTGACACGGGGCCTCTGTTTTAAAGGTATTATCCGAAGGACCCGCAAATTTCACTTCACAGTGCCGAGCGCTTGGCGAAGGAACAGTTGCCACCTATTTTTTATCGACTTCAGTCACTCGCAGCCTTGATTCGAACACACGACCTCTACAGATTGGGCTTCCGTGACAGTGTTGTTGCCGAAAAAGAATTCTAGATAGTAATATCAATTCAACAAATAAAATTTATTGAATGCGCTGCAAGTTAAAACAAGAGTTCAAGCTCTCATGTCAATGTCAGATTCTTCAAAATCTTCATATACTTTCAGTTCTTAATCAAAAATGTAAAGGCATAGGTTGCCCCTGTTCCTATAAATCTGTAAACAATATATAAAGCGTAATAAAGGTAAATGATAAATACCTCCCCACCAAGATCTACAAATGGGACGACAGTATCAGGAATGAGACCAACATCGAGATTCTGTAAGATCAACATTTTATGCAGAAACCAATGTAATACATTGAAAGGATTAAACCAATAAAGATTTGAAAAGTTTGCTTTGGTAGTTACTGAGAAAAATGAAAATAAAAAAAATCACCTTTTTTCATGTTTCCATGGCAAAGGTAGCCATTTAGAATTTTATAATGTGGACTGAACAAACAGAGTTTCTAATCATAATTATACCCCCACTCCGATGGAGAAGGGGATATACTGTTTTACCTTTGTGTCTGTCTGTGTTTCCGTCCGTAACAAATTTTCGTCACAGTTTTCTCAGCAACTACTCATCGCAGATTCTTGAAATTTTAGCACACTCTTTGTTTAAGCATATCATATAGTGGGATTCATCTCTGTTCAAATCCGATGTCAACTTCCTGTTTATCCGTGCGTCTGTCCGTATCAAATTTTGGTCACAGTTTTCTCAGCGACTACCAGTACTCATCGCAGATGAATAAAATTTTAGTTCACTCATTGCTTAGGCATGTCGTGTGGTGGTCTGTAACAAATTTCCGTCGCAGTTTTCCCAGCAACTACTCATTGCAGATGCTTGAAATTTTAGCATATTTCTTCTTTTGGCATACCAGAACATTTGCGTATATTAACCTTTTTCTGTTTCTTTCATTCCTAACGCAACTTTTTGCAAAAGATTCCATTTTGTCATATAGAAATAACTTTGACAAGATGTCAGGAACAATCCTTAAAAGGCTCAAAATATGTTTGTTTATATGATGTCTAGCGCCCCCCTCGAAATTTTATCACTCTTATGAAAACGCCACCACTTCCCCGTGGAGGGCTGCAAATTTATAGTTATACTCACACTCAGGGCTATTGAGCAGTGAGGGATCTTTTTCGTGCCAACCCTACTGCGGCACGGCACCTTGGTTAATACAGTCTCATCTGAAGGACTGGTCTCCACGTCCCGCAGTAAAAAGTATGAAAAAAAAATCAAACTAAGTCTAACACCGCTTTCGCAGGCTCATCAGTAGATTTGAAATTATAAACAAGTTAAGTTATGGAATCATTCTCGTGACGTTATGTGGGGAACGTTAACCATTAGTGGTGCATTAAGCGACACGGGTTTTAATCCTGTCAAATTGAAGGCCTAAGAGTTGGCGTCTCATGTTAAACACG